TTCTTATGCTGGTTATGGTGGGGCTAGTCCCTTTTTCTATTCAAAATGACTGTAAAAGTATATTCATATTATTCTTGGTGACATTGAGCGGAAAGAGACTTTGAGAAGAAGATGGGTGTGGAGTATGGGGTGCGGGGAAGGGAGGTGCAGGGAAGGGGGGTATGGGGAAGAGATGTGTAAATTTAGGAATTTAAATTTTTTTTAAAGGGTAATTTAGACATTTTATATATTTTTTAAAAAAGGGGGTGTATTTATACGAGAGTGGAGGTTTATTTAACATCTGCCACAAGTTAATATGCAAACATGCATATGAAATCCAATTAACTTGAATGTTTTGCGAACTGGTCTTGCTTAGGCCCACAATTATATGACCAAGATCTACTTGGTCCAAAACGCACTGTTACACTGACTAGTTTGGAAAGGGAGTTGCTAAATAGTAAATACACTCCTTAGATTCTTACTCTTCACACCCTCTAAATTTATATGGACTCCTGAAATATCAACTACTACCACATTCAACCTAGCCCTTCCCTCCTGCACCTTCTCCTTTCATTTTTCCTAGTAGTCTTCACAAGTGGGATTGGTTCACATTTGAGTAAAAGTCCAATCCGAACCAATTAAATTTAGCTGGTTTAAATTGATTATGATTTCATAATTTTTTTTTGCTTAACTAAAATCAAATCAAACCAATCTAATGTTAATTAAATTGATCCGGTTAGAGTCAACTGATATTCAATGAATTTTTTAAAAAATAATTTTAAAAATATTATTTTTCTCTAAAGTAAATAAATTTTCTAACATTAACAAAAATGATAGATTTGCAATATAGTTTCTTTTGATTTTTTTTAATTTACTTAAGAAAATTTTAAATGCGCCATAGTGTATAAAAATGACACTCGATATACTATAATATAATTTTTCTTGATTTAAAGAAATGAAAAAATCTACAAATTGTAACACAAAACCATCTTCAAAATAATCAAAATGATACATATATATTAATTGTTAATTAAATAAAAAATAATAATATATAAATTAATTGGTTTAAATAATAATATATAAATTAATTGGTTTGATTCGAATTTTAAATATGTAAATGTGATATCTAAACCAATCATCATTGAATTTAATTAGTTTACTTTAGGTTGAAACTGAATAATAAAAAAAAAAATCAAACCAATTTAATTAGTTTGATTTGAATTGTCAAATTTATCATATTGATCCAATCTATTGAATACCCCTAATTTTTCCCTATATTTCTTCACTTCAGAATGCCATCTTCATTTTTTCTTTCATCTCTATTAATTCTTCTCACTTTCTCGAGCAACATTTCCTTTGAGCTTTTTTTTCTTAGATGTTAATTTGAATTTTAGATTTTGATATCACCATCACAACTAATAATGGACATCAGTATTATTGTTTGACATTAGCACCACCTAAATCAACCTCGCCATTGCCACCACCACTATCGACTTATCGCCGCCATCGCCATTAGTTATCCCGTTATCACTAACAACATCACTATTAACAATGTCATCATTATTGTCAATGCTGACGTCATTATTGACCCTATCATCTTCGCTAACACTACTAACATCGATTTTGCCACAACACAAACATGCCTTTAAACTAATTTTAATAGGATTAGAAATTTTCAAAATGGGCTTATTTGCTAAAGTTAAAACTTTTGAAACCTAAAACTAAAAACTAGCCCCAAACGGCCCTAAGCAAATAACAGCCGTTTGAAAACTAGGTCGCTATATCCCCCACAATTCGGGCCTGGTTACATTGAAGTCTGGGAAATTAAACTCTCCATGATATCCTTCCTAACGATCATTAAACCATTTACCCTAACGGGTTGGGAATTTTTGACTTTATACTCTCTCGGACAAGCTCAATAATCTCATGTTCTGTCTGAGTCTTTGAGAGATATTTATATAAACAATACCAGATAAAAATGAACTAAATTTATTCGGAACTAGCGAAATGAAGAAGCGATATCGGAATAAAGTAAAGGCAATCACATGATATCACTTTATTGATGAAAGATTCCAATTGCCAACAATAAAATGGAGAGGAAAACCATACGACAAAGAGAAGGTACGAAACTTAAATCCTAATCAGCACCTTCGGAACAAACCAAAACTAGCGTGCGTATGCATGAATAGGATATGATGAAAGAAAGCCCAAACCGATTTGTATTATTATAGCTCTCCTATTATTGTGGACATACATACATGTGCAGGAGTGAAGTAAGCATTCATTTCTATTCAAAAATGAGCCAAAAGTCCCTCCAATCCCAACAGAAAAGGGGATGCCAATCACTACCAAAAACAGCAAGTCTTAAGGGCATTCAATAATTGCATGCACATGAGACAATTGATAAACCACCTACTAATACTGAAAGAAAAAACCACCAATTGGCTGGTTTACCATTTTTTTTTCATTATTTGCAGCAGATCCCTACTTCCTAACAAGTAACCCACAAACATTTTTATTAGTGTTCCATACATTGTACATTGTACACAACAGTGGACAAAATATTCATGGGTGTATTAGTAGAACAAAAGAATATCTGCAGATTTTTAATCAAAAAAACATTTCATCTATCTTTCCAAGTCAACCAACCACAATTCAGCTAAATGAGCAACTATTGGTGTATAACAATGCAATTCTTCGTCAAAATATCTAATATCTAATATTTAATATTATAATCAAAATTCAAAAATAGCATCTCTTTCTCCTCTTTCAAAGTAAGAAATGTACATATATCATCAAACGAATTACTGCCAAGGCTCCAATGCCATAAGAGGGCAGGGTGGGACTACTGATGAAGCAGGACTAAGAGAGCAAATTATACATTTAAGGGCTCTGGTTCAGGTTGGCAATTGTTCACGCTATAATACAGTCCAGGTACTTTAATGCCACAAGCACAAAAAATCGTTCATGACAGTGTAGTCAGAGTACTGCAACAATAAGATTTTATATTTTATTCGTATGTAGCTTAGTTTGATCGTACAAGTTATATTTCACCTACACCGGATTGAACTCCTTTTTTCACTCTGTATCGGACCTCGAGAGTAATATAACTATTAAATGTCATGAGTGGCGCAGGGAAGAAAACAAAGAAAATTTTCAGGAAGATTTTCCACATAAACCTCGATGCTTGCCTCAGTGATATAAACATGATATGTTAAAAGAATCAGCACTGCTATTCTTGGAAGAAAGTAAAAAGTACGCATGCTTTTTCACAAAGATCACATACTAATTCATATTCCAAACCAATAACCATGCAGCAGACAACAAAAACCCAACTCTCCAACACTCATCCTAATAAACTAACGTATTGTTGCTGTCGTCAAGGTCAAATTCAATGACGACATTTCAGATTTCAAAACAATCACGATTCCTACAAACTCAAATAAACAGCAAGTCTGATACTCAACCAGTAGAAGTAAACAGACACAACTGACAGTCATCCCATTAGATAACGTCAACATCATCCTAACGAATCCATCCTACAGTACTAACCAAACGGTCCAAACCCAATCCTGATCCCAAAATGAATCCATTGACATCCCCCACGGGCACCAGCCTGTACAACTACCATCCAGCAGGGTGAAAGGACAACCTAAGTCCTACCTGTCATGCCCATTCAAGCACCTTTCTAGACTTTAGTAAATGAATAGCTAGCCTGTTACTTGGAACAACTGTCGTCATCATCAATGTTTCACTTGGAGTATTTTTATGAATATGTTTATACTATTTGCTAATCTTCTATATATTATCTTGAACAGTTTTTTTTTTTTTTTGTGGATAATTCTTTAACTGGAATTTTTTGGCTGTTCTTCGATGACAACATTTTTAGGTATTTTTTTAACCTCATATTTCTTTTAATCTATCATTTCTATTTTTATTTTTAAATAAATTTTAATATTTTCAAAAGAAATTATCAATAGCTAAAAATAACATTGTATCACAATGTAAATTATTTATCATAAATCTAAAATATAATTTATAAGATAATATTTACTTATCATATACTTTATATATTTAAAATTATTTATTTATTATAAATTTTAGCTATATAAAAAAAATTATGTGCATAAAATTGGCTAAAATTTATGAGTGGCTAGGAAACAGCAATAAGAATACAGGTGGCAGGGAAATAGCAACTTTGCCTCGCTTAAAGTCATAAACTTCATAAATAAGTACTTAATCAAGAAAAGGTCTTAGGTTTGGACTTTGGATACTCAGAAATACTTGCAAAGGAAAGAACTTCCCAAACCCAACATATTACTCTAAGATATAAAAGGTGAAAATACCAAAGTTTTAAATATAATAACATGCTTATAGTATAAAAGTGTAACAGAACAATAAAAAAAAACGAAGAAAACCAAAGCTTTGTTTCTTTCAGAATATATTACTATGATAAACTGCATTTATCAATTATCATTATTTCATCAACAACGAACAGTCCAAACCAGAACTAGTGGACAACAAGTTTCCTTTGTTGGTTATAGATGAGTGACCAAACATTCAGGCTGTTAACTATTCGGCAGCAATAAACACCTAAACACAAAAATGGCATAGATCCAATATACCCAACAATTCAAAGAACACTGGATAACAGTCATGTTTTCAGTCGAACAACATTAACAAAGCTATACTACTCAAAAGATTAATTCAACTCTTAAGCTTCTATGATCAATGTCCAAACACCATCAGTTTAAATGGGGGAGCTAATTTCATCGTAGTTGTATATTTTCAACAATTAAAGTGAAACAATGCAAGGTTCATGTGCCAGTACGACAATTGATTTATATATATATATATATATATATAGACATGATCTACGTAGTATTTCAAAACTTCCAACCAAAACTTAATCTGTCTTTGTGAGATGTGACTTCTGCTAGCCAAACATTACTTCAAGGTGTCGAGATCCCCTTGTTCCAGGACAGGCTTTACAACTAACTTGGTTACAATAAAACAATTGATGAACACACACAACAATTCACTTGCAATTAATCAGTATCTCCATAAGACTAGAATTGAGTAAGTATAAGGTGTGACAATAACTATATACAGTCATACACTACCAGCAAAAAAATTGCATTAAAACCTAACCCAAATCGCATAGACATAAACAGTTAAAAGCATCAATAATAACAAGAGAGAATCAGAAAACTTATTCCCCTCCCAAAACCTAGGGTTTCAAAAAAGAATTCACGTCCACACCTGACACTCCTTGTCTCCGCCGACCAAATCGCCGGAAGCAGCTTTGGAAGAGAATCCAACAGGCATTTTCCGGCAGAGAACCTTGAGAACCCTCGTCCGGAACCTCCAGGAGCCGGAGCGAAACGAAGTGGAGGCGAGAATCTGAACGTCGAAGAGAACCTGACCTTTGGCCTTCTCATCGTTGAGGTCGTCAATGACGCGGGGCTCAAGGTAGGTGCCGGCGGCGGAGAGCGTGGCATTGAGAGTGGACTCCGATTTGGTGTCCTGCTTGAAGGGCGGGAGCTGGGACTCGGCGATGTAGTTGGTGCGGTAGAAGAGGGAGGAGCGGAGGGCGTTGTAGGAGACGCTCATCTTGCCGTTGCCGTTGCGGACCAAGAAGGAGATGTTCCACGTGGCGGAGAGGGATTGGGCGGTGGTGGAGAGGTTGGAGACGGAGAGGGCGTGGAGCGTGAAGTGGGGGAGCGAGGGGCGGAGGACGAGCCAGGTCACGATGAGGATCACGCCGAACACCACGGCCAGGCAGATCATCGTCGCGAAGAAGGCGCGGAAGAAGGACCGGGAGGCCAGGGAGGACGGCCTGGGAGGGGCGTAGGTTGGGTTGTAGTATTGGGGAGGGGGGGCGGCGTAGGGGTAGGCCGTGGCGGGGGGCGGCGCTTGGCCTCCGTTCGGCTGGTGGAAGGGCGGCGCGGGGTAGCCGGTTGCCGGCCTGGAAGGGTCCTGCATAGAGTAAAGCGAAGCGGTGACCAAAGAGTGAGAGAGTGGAAGTGAAAGTGTGGCAGTGGGATTTTTATTTATAGGGTCTTTGGTTTTGGCTTTTTTGTAAATGGCTTTTTTTGGATTTTTTTTCTTCTTCTAATATCTTCGCCAAAAGTAGAGGCTCCCATTGTTTGATTTGAATTTGAACCTTTTAATTCCATCGTTCCAATGTGTCATTTTCAAACACATAAAATAAGGATTACGAATTTACGATCCTCTCTTTTATAAAAAAAAATCACGATCCTCTATAGTTTACCGGTGAAACCGCACGGATCACATCCATTAATTTTATTTTATTATATAATAAATTAATGTTTTAGAATTAAATTTATTAACTTTTAAGGGTGGGATTTATAACTGCACACATGAACACTTGTTATGCACTAAGTACTAACAATGCCTTATATTCTAATAGATCTCAAAGAAATTTACCAAGTTTCAAAGATATACGTTGCGATGTATGTCATGTGTTGAAAGAAAAAACGAGAAATTTGGGTTATATCAATATCTACTCTACTATTTCAAATGAATAGTTCATATTAGAGAAATTTGAAGGTTTTTTATTTACAAAAATAAGGATAATAAAATCAAATTATGCATTGAAGTCTACATTGTCCTATTCATTATGATTTAACTATGACGTGATATATCATTAAAAACACACATGGACACTTATTAAAGAATCATAAAATTCTATTACCTAATAATTATTTTTGTACTTCTTATATTCAATGTAAATTAAATGTTAGACCATCTCGTGCTCAAAGTAAATTAATTGTTAGACATGTTGAAATTTCAAGGATTTTCATTATGATTATGTTTTACAAAAATAAACATAACAGAATTAAGTTCTATGCATTAAATTCTAGATCATCTTTCTAATTGTGGTTCAGCTCTAATGTGACATATAATTGAAAAAATATATATATATAAGGGAAAATTCTGTTTCTCAATTTAATAATTTCTCTCTTATATTAAATTTTAACAATTCAATTCAATTATTAAATTAAAGGTTGTTAATATATATATATATATATTAAGTTTATAAATTTTTAAAAAAATTAAAAATTATTTAATATTTTACTTTATTAATTCAAATTCATTAATAATTATAAAAAAAATTGTGTTAATTTAAATTTATATGACAAAAAATTATATAAATTTTAAATTTTAAGAAAATTTATAAATTTAATCTATACATTGAAAAAAATTATTTCCACTTTATATAAATCTTTTTGTTCCGTGTTTATATTTTTTCATTTTATTCTAGAACTGAAATGTATCTGCTCATAAACTAATAATAACTTTTTAATTTAATGTAAGAAAAAATAAATAAAATATATATAATAACCACTCATTTTTTATTTTTATTAGAGGTACAAAATGTTATTGTTTTTACTAGTGATTAAAATCTAGAAAAAAAATAATTTTTATATTGTTAGTATATTGATTATTATTTTTTATTTGTATCTAATTTACAGTACGTTCGAAATTTCCTTAGGTTATAATTTAATTGTGTTTGATATAGATACTTAGAAAGTTTTGATAGTGGTCTTCAATAAAATTACTAAGTTGATGAATTAGTTGTTGAATAGCATGAATTGGTATATATTAAATTTATAAATTTTATATAAGACATATTATATATGAAAACAATTAATAATTAAGGAATATTTTCATTAAAGTATATGTTTTAAGATTTAAATGCTTAACATTATAAGTAAGCACCCGTGTTTGGAGCGAATCATCTATAATTCAAATAAAATTGTTTTTAATGAAAGATATTTTTAAAGTTAAAATCTTATGAATTGCACTTTGCATGTTTGGTAAGTTATTTTAGTTAGTTTCTATTTATTTGTTTACTATTTGAAAAGTTTGATTGACCTTATTAATAATTAATGTTTGGTAAACACTACGCAAGCTCTTTTTAGTAATTTGAAATGCCTTACTTTGGAGATGTTACTTCAATTTGCAATTTTTAAAACGTTATCTTCTAACTTCTTATATACTTTATTCTTGCCTTATTTTTAAAATTTCTTTTTATATGCATGAAAGATAAAAAAAAATTATTAATGTAAAATAAATTTAGATAAAATTACTTTTGGAATAAATGAATATATATATATATATATATGTATATATATATATATATAGAATAATTGTATACACATAGAGTCTAGAATATACATATACATGATCCAATTTGAACAGAGTTAAAGTGTACAAAAATTTCAACCAAATGCTACTATCCCAAGTAGCTCAACAACAAAACAGCCACAAAAGAAATCAGCTCCGCCGATCCGCTGAAGACTCACCACTAGTCATCCACCTATCCCTGCTCTGCTTCCATACATAGTATGATCATTGCAGTCCAAACATCATGGAAACAATAAAGGGTAAGCTAGTGTAAATAAAGTCAACATACATATATGCGTAATATAATGATAGAAAACAACTACGGCTATCAACATACCAGCACTTCTTATACCACTCACAGCATACAACATTCTCAGCACCGCATTGCAGCAATATCGGCACTGCTTAGCAGCAATAACAGCACCACAATGGTGGCTATAACGGCACCGCTTAGCGGCAACAACAACACCGACTTAGCGGCTATAACAGCACCACAAATGTGGCTAATAACAGCACCGACTTAGCGGCTATAACATCATACAATTCAGTTCAGCATAGCACAGCACAGGACAACACAGCAATTCAACACACTTATTACTCACAACTTAGCCTAACATTCCATAGTACCACAAGACTATGACTCAACTTTTTAATTCATCGATCACAGCCCAACTCAGCACAACATTACACCTCTAATACAGCTAAACATTATTTTTTCAGCCTTATCACCTAGTCAGCACAACATATTCATCAAGATCGGCCTAGTTCAGCATATAACAACATTGATCATCAATCTCAGCAAAATTCAACAACTAATAGCATGTATAACCATATCTCCTTGCACGCCCGGCGCACTCGAGGTCACTCCCAGCGCGGCTCAACCCGAGAGCACCAGGGGCCAGCGCGCCCAGCGCAAGAATACTCGCGCCCGGCGAGACTCAACCCGAGAGTCCAAGACTCTCATGCCCCTGACACAATTCCAATTGCGCCCAGCGCCTGCCAGGCAGAGACTCTAAGGAGTCTCATGCGCTCAACGTGGCCTAACCCGCGCCCAGCGTGGGGAAGGCAGAGACCTACCAAGGTCTCGCGCTCGGTGCAAATCGCATTGCGCCCAGCGCTCTCTTGGCAGAGACTCCCAAGGAGCCTCCGCGCCCAGCGAGCCCAAACCCGCGCCTAGCGCGGCACCA